TGGCAAATCACTAATTTTCGGGAGAATTTTTGAATATTTGCCTACTAATTTCTCAGATAATTTTGCCTGTAAATTGATCTAAAACGTCTGAAAATTTCAAGAAAAAAACACTCTTAATTTTCCTCAAAAATAAACATTTTATCGAAGGAAATTTGGCAACTCTCGAATGCTCATACGGCGTTCTTCCTCAGCACGGCAGTACTCCCCTTCGTATTCTTTGTCTATAGCTTTGTCTATTGCTTTCAATAATTAGCCCGCACGATCAGCCCCCCCCCCTTCAATTTGAATTTGCGACGAAATAAACATGAAAATTTGAAATTTTAGCCAAAAATTTCGTGTCCGACCTCTTCTATTAGCTGGATCCAGTGAGCGGCGACAAAGTTGGAGAGCGCGAGGGATGGGAGATAAATGGAAAGCAGCAAACATAACTGCCCTGGCCCTGGCCCGCGAAAAGGAAAGGGATGGGGAAGAATTGAAAAGAGCAAATTACGGAAATGATTCAGGATTTCAGAGCGTGCAGACTCCGCTCCGAAACTCTTACGGAGCGCCATGAAATATGGGGCACCCGCCGGCCGCCGCTGCCAGCGAGAAAAAGTCTCGCAATAAAAGGTTCATTTTAAAGTCTGGCTTGCATAACGATAACCGGCCGCGATCCTCCCTCCCGAAAAATCGTTGCCAGAGCGGCCGATTCTCAGAGACAATGGTGAAACCCCCAAACCACGTATCTCGTTTGCGGTGTATCAAAATCTCCCGCTGAAAAAAAAATCTCGGTTTATTTACTAAGAAAAGGGTAAAATTACCAAGAATTCAGGGTTCTATTTGATCCCTGTTTTTTCTTGGTAAAATTACCATTTATGGAATTGGTAATTTTACCGAGAAATCTCGGTAAAATTATTGAACTTTCTCGGTAATTTTACTGGACCTTGGTAAAAACGCCAATATTTTTTATGACTGTGGTAGAATTACCGAGATAAAATGGCAAAGTTACCGGGAATTGATTACCAATAAAAGTGGTATTCTTACCTGAAAAAAACAGTTAAAATACCGGTTTTTAGGTAAGCTTACCAGTCTGTTTTGGTAAAATTACCAATAATTGGTAAAAAAAAGTGAGATGGTAAAGGTACCAACGGACCTTGGTAAAAACGCCGAGAATTTTTTTTCAGTGCCGCTCCTGTTTTATTTTTTTTAAAGGACAAATCGGTTACACTGTGCAATACTGCCGTGCTGAGGAAAAATGTCGTATGAACACTCGCGAGTTGCCGAATTGCCCTGGATTAAACATGTATTTTTGAGAACGATTATGCGTATTTTTCCTTGAAATTTTCAGACTTTTCAGACAAAATTGCTCTGTCCCTAAAGAAGGAGATGTTAAAACCGGAGTCTGTTCATTTCACAAGATACAACTATTTCAACCTTACTGTTTCTTAATTTGCGCAATCGCGAAATTGAAGGAGGAATGAATCTCTCAGTCACACCAGTTCAGTTGAGGCTATCTCTAATCATGCTCATCGATTAAAATCAAAATCGAATGAAAAGAAAGTCACCGTAGAAAGTAAAGAAGAGTAAAGAGTTATGAGTGCTTTTTTCCTTAAATTTCACTTCGGTTTATTAGATAGGGTGTAAAATTCACAAATTGTTTGCAATCGCTTAGTAAAATTTACAATTTACAACGAGAATTTTTTTCTATAATTGCGAAAAAGTTTCATAATCTTAGGAGTTTTCTTTTCCTTTTTATTAATGAAATTAGACATTTGAGCCGTACACAGCGCGTTTCTATAATTTTATAGATAATCTTGCGATTGGGTTCAAAATAGGTCCTTTACCCGGGCCATTTAGGAGCATAGACCTCGATCAGTGTTGGTGAGCTATGCTCGATTTCCCGCGAAAACTATCCCTTTTAAAGTCAAACTTCAAACTTCTGCGCATCAATTTCGAAGGAACCATAGTCTGCCCATCGTCTCAAAGTAATGCCTTTAATTAAGAGTACAAAGTTTAATTGAAGTTTTGATGGGAAAGAAGAATTTTTCTCTTCAACAATTAGGTATGAAAAAGTCAAGAAACATGGGTTTGAGATACGAGGAAAATGCGTTTAAAGTCGAAATTTTTTTGGAGAGTTACTGTCCCAAATAAACTTTAATTTTAAATACTCAAACACTGAAGTAAGCGCAAGTATTCCATTTTTTCAGGAATGCACTCATTTACAATTATTGTTGATGGATGGAAATGAACGAAAGTCAAACAAGAAATTATATGATATAAAGGATTAGCGCCAAATGTTGCTAGCACATTAAAATATCGAAAATTTCATCTGATGACTTAAAGCTCTCCGATTTCTTAAATTGTAATTTTATCGAAGCTTTTTATAAAGATCTATCCAACCGATTCGAGGATTTTTCGGTTTGACAAATCGGTTGTCTTAAAATCTTTGAATTATATTCTGAGAGCCATCGATGTTCGGATCACATATCTGCCGGGAGAGGCTTACAAGTTAATATTAAGGTAATTCCGAGACCCTCTTTGATGAACAGATAAGGATGAGAAGAAAAGGGATAAATGTAAATGCATATCATTGGCGAAAAGACAAAGAGAAAACTTTTTACAATTCTCCCATGCACGCACCGTGGTGAACGCGCAATGCTTGAAGTATTCATGCAGTCTAGTAGGCGCTAATGCGTTTCGCATCGGCCACACCTCATTCTGTGTTTGGCGCAATGCGTGAAGTATTCCTGCAGTCTTGTAGGCGCTAATATGCGCTCCGCGCCAACTGCACTGTTTTCAGCGCGATTAGTTAAATTCGAGGAGTCAGTGTTTTTCAACCTGTTACTACCATTAAGTGTTTCACACGTGAAAATTCAAAGGGAAACATATCGGTGGCTGAGGAACAATACGGCCTATCTGCAAACTGACAATTTCGCAGAACGAAGAGACAACTTCGTCTTTCTGGTAATTTTGATGTCAGATTTGCAATTTTTTCACATATTACAGTGCCATAGCAGTGCTCCCACACAGAATTGAACCAATTATTTTACAAATTACGTAAGCGCTAAAATTGCGAGTGTGAGGAAAACAAGGAAAACCGTTTTTTTCGCATTGTTGACTATCTTCGAATTCCAGAAAAATGTATGTTCTATTAGAGAGCTATTTTGAAATCAGACACGATTGATTGTACCAAAAAACAACACCTCCACCTCCAAAATAGAGATTGATACTTACGTGATTTGGAAGGTAATCGGTTCAATTAGAAAGAAAAACTAAAATCATCAGCTTGATTATTTTATACTGTAGAATGCGGCAAAGTCACTCACTCGTTTTAGCAAAAATTGTCGGTAAGGCGAAATTTTCTTTATTCTAGAGAAATTTAATCATGAACTCATTTAATGCAAGTGACCAAATTTTATTTTATTTAGTCTAAAACCTTAGTAAACTGATGTTACTTTTATATAGTTGGAAACAATACCTTATAAAGGTTTCATCTAAGAAGTATTATATTTTATTTTATTTCTATATTGAAAATATAGTGTTTTAGATTAAATAAATAATTTCAATCAGACTGTTTTAAAATTTTAAAATTATCTTAATAACGTCACCATTATGCTTTTACTGAGTGAAGCTATTAAAACAAACAAATACAGTCATTAAAATAGTTATAGTTGGATGGCATTTTGCTAAAAGGAACCAGGAGCATTCTAATGTAGTTAAAATTGTGCAACTTTTTTCACCTAGCAAATATGATCTGATCATCTAAACAGTTTATAATCTTTACCCCTGATGAACTATGAATTCAAGACAAAAATTACCTTTGAATATTTAATGTTTTGCATGAGTTAAGTAATTTTTAGCAAAGTATGTACGTTGCACAAGCTTATAGTGAAATTTGAATGCTCTTGGTTCCTTTTTGCAAAGTGATAGATAGATAGATAGATAGATAGATAGATAGATAGATAGATAGATAGATAGATAGATAGATAGATAGATAGATAGATAGATAGATAGATAGATAGATAGATAGATAGATAGATAGATAGATAGATAGATAGATAGATAGATAGATAGATAGATAATTTATTGATGCATACAAGCTATAGTAAACAGCTCTGGCACAATTCAAATTTACAATTTATACAAAAAAATTCTTTTAGATTATAATAAGCTTTATTTTTTTAGTGCAATCCAGTTATTCCTTGGCCCTGGATATTGGATTTTGTTGGAAAAATTGACAACGCGGAACGGAAAGCTCTTTGCGTGAAGCCCTAGAACACAGAGGACCGGCAGACAGACTTGGCGAGCTTAGCTTGATGCACTTTGCCAACCCTATTGCCGGTCAAGCCGAGGCGAGGAGCTCGAGCTCGGGTTGGTGCCCCTGGAAACCGGCAGTTATGCAACCGGGGCAAATCCAATCGAAGACGCCAGACTGGCACTAGGACTGGGGCGAGCCATTGGCGGGAATAGGCGAAATTCACAGTTTACAAGATGAAAGATAGCTTCGGGTCGTTGATGCTAGCGCCCGTCGCGGCTCCCTTTATGGCTGCACGAAGCACTGCACTCCTCACTGCAGTTCGCAGCCGAGTTTTTCGCCCGCCCCAGCCCCGTCTTCGTCGCCCCGATAAGCCCCCGATTTATGAGCCAACGCTCTCGGGGCGGCATTTCGAAATTTCGAAGACTCCTATTCTCGAAATAAAACCAATCAAAAACTATCCTTAACAAATAAGTATAATTGAATCAGTGAGAACCAAAACCAGTGTTCGAAACTCACATTTGAATTTTAGGAGCCATGTGGCGCATCACGCCCGATTTTTAGGCGCCATTAAAGATTTTTTAGGGGCCAAATTGTCTTTTTGCCTTTATATTACGGCGCATTTAGTGAAAACCTAAGGTTTGAGAATATATAAAATTAATAATAAATAAAAAGAATAAAATAAAAAGAATAATAAATCCAAGAAAAGGATCAAAATGCAAAATAAAACGGTAGAAATTACTCGAGACAATTTTTTTCAGCTTACCTGTCTCATGTTCAAGTAGAGAGCGATTCTTGCTGCATTTCGGGTTAGGGTTCAAGAGAAATATCTAGAAAAGAGAAAAAATGCATCGTAAAATTAGTTCTCAGAGTTTTTTACTGTCGATCGACAATTTTTCTTATCGGTTTGTTAGATTTCTGAGATACTATCGTTTCTAGATTTAGTGACCAAACATGGTTAATGTATTAATTGATAACAGCTTTTAAGAAAAATCAGCCTATCTACGCATTCCATGTTGATAATTTCTTCTGAAGTTCTATTTTTTTTATCAAAAAAACTACGCAAAATTTTGCCTTTAAATTTTGTGAGTTGAGTCTTCAGAGGCTTAGATAAACTCATAGAAATATTCAAAGTATCGTGTTGGCTAGTTTTTACGAAATTTGACGTTGTGAGATTCAGTAATGCTGATTTTGTCTCATGCCCGAGGGAAACACACCAGTTTTGTGATGATGATAAATATAAATCACATTCGGTAAGCAGTCGCGCATCGCCGAACGATCAGCCTTCCAATTCGCGGATATGCAACCCGGAGGTCTTCCGTGCACGAATAATTTTATCACAAACATGGATGCTCTATAACTTAATTGAGACCCAATGGGCAATCCTTACTTTCAGAAATGGGCGCACCACGATGAGTATGCGACCACGCATCCCCATTCAGTGCTTTTGAATGATAAAATCTCACTACCGAAACCTCATCTAACACCAGTAATTTGATAACTACCATTCTTAACTTGCTGATACGTGTACTACATTTTGCAATTAGGAACTACAGCCTTTGGCTCAGTTTAGAAACAACGTATGCATCATTAGTTTCCCTAGGCACAGAAGTGTTTTTACGGATAAGCCAGACATTGTAGGTTTTAATTAGGAAATGTAGTCTATTTGGACGCGTTTAACTAATGGATCTAACAATAAGTATCCATCAAACATTGCCTGGTTCCCTATTTAAAAAAAAATATTGCCTAAACCACTTTGAAGGAGTTCTCTAACCATCTGTACACGGTGCTTTAGTACAGATTATCGGGGGAGGGGGGAGGAATAAGCGCATAGGCAGATCCAGACACTTCAAAACAGAAATTCCAATTTCCAATTTTCTTCCAGAAATTTCAAAGCATCTAATGTGCAGTTGTTTACTGTGTGATGTTGAGTAAATTCCTGATCTGCTCATTTAGAGGAACAATAAATTGCGAAATTAATAACGAAAAATGAAATATCTCTAAGTTAAAAACGAGGATATACTCGGGACCTGTCTAAAAGGCGCCATTTAATCGCCATCGTCAACCATCTTTGCTTCAGGCCTCTACCATTCATCGACACCATGATTTTTCTTAGTGGGGCAACAAATTGAGGACGGTACCTACTAATAATTAAGACATGCCGTTTAAAGATGAATAAAACAAATTCAGGATCAACTTTTTGTATTCCAGTACTTTCATCAATTGAACTACGGTTTTGCACTAGGGAAGCCCAATTTCTGCCTCCTCTCAGAAACGACATAGATGTCACCAGTTTTCCTATTCAAGCGGGTGATTTTACGGATTAGTCAGAAATGGCGGTTCTATACCCAAAATGTGCACATAATGCAAGACGTACTCCAAGATATCTATGTCTATCAGCCACGAGTGTCTTGTTTTCCACCGTCGCGTTGATCATTCATTCATATTTGTCCGAACCAACAGATCGTGAAATATCAACTGTGTTGAGTGCACCCATGAAATAAAACAAAGATGGTTCGTCTGAAATGTTTCGGAGGTCGAAGGCCCCCTCAAAACGGAGGAGAGGGGGGAGGGGGGGGGGGCTGCGATACTCACGTTAGGTATTTAAACATGGTCGCGGGGTGAACGCGCTGTCTGGTTACCATGGTAACGACGCCGAGCAGAGCCGGCCGGGTATGCAGCCCGCTTGCATGCCTCGTGCCTCTATGGAATTAAATCAAGACTCCCTCGCCTCCGAATTAACAGTATGTTGGCTTCGTTGAGTGCCCTAAAAATCCGTCCAGACCTTTGATTTCCACGAACATTGTTCGCGAGAACGAAAGGTTTTTCACCGCATCCTGGGAGAATGTTTTAAGGTGGATCTTCAGCTTTTGCGCGATGCATTTTGAATGGGATCGATGTATTTCAAATTTTATCTTAAGAAGAATTATTTTGGGAAAATCTAAAATTTCAGTCCGTAGATAAATAATTGAAGAATGCTCGTGCCGAAGTTCGTCCTAAAGTCTTCAAACAAAGTCAACAACCGATATCGATACATTGAAAACTGTTGCAAGATGAAAACAGAACTTCGCTTCTATATTTTTTCCTGAGGAGAGACGAGCCAAATTTTTAGCTTGAAATGTATACTGAATATTTTGCTAGCAAACAGTGGAATTTTTTTAAAATTGGCAACACTGTTTTTCTCCATTTAAACGTATTTAAAACAATCGATTCTTAATGAGCCAGCTTGTCTCGACTGAAATCGATATTTTCAATGGATTTGAATGCAGAAAAAACGCAGTGTTGCCAACTTTCAAGAATCGCCGCCGCTAATAGAGACGAAAATTCAAGGCAGGTTTCAAGAGAATACGTTGACTAGTTTTCCAGAAAAATCACAAAAAATAAAAAATAAATAAAATTTGACGAGAAGTCTGCGACGTTGCATTTGGAGAAATGCGGTTTCGCACCTTGGCCATCGATTTGTGCACTATCAAGCACATTTTGGAAATCAACTTAAAAATGAGGGGTTGTTACTCCCACTGATGTTGTTATAATGCAGGGCGCATGATGGTTACCAAGTTGGTCTTTCTTTATTAATAGATTTGCTGCATGTGCACGTAGTAGACCTTAAGTGAGAGTTGATTTTTGAACTCATCAACGCCCATCTTGGAAGCCTCTTCAGGTAGAACTTACGACTTAATTTGAATACGAGTCAATTACTTGTCAATAACTAATTCAGTGGTAGGTCTCTTGGTTTATTCATGAGATCTTGTCGTCGCTTACAGAACCAGGAAGACGCTACAGAAACTACCGTTTCATACCCTGGCATTCTTATTTTTCTTCAACGAGTGAGTTATCTCGTCCAAAGGGTGGCTTTTGCAACGCCGCGTGCCGAACGTAGCGCCGGCACAATTGCAATAGGTATCGTCCAAAAAGCCTCTAGATCTGAACGGACAGATTGTATCAATTGCATGAAAATCGAATTCTTGGAAACATTAAGTACAAAGCTCGAAACAGTAGAAGGAAATCGACAGCATCCTAATAATGTATTGTACAGAAATCCCCCATGGTATGGCCTTGTTCTTTCCATCAAACGTTTTCATCACCGCAAAATGAGGCACATCTCTCTCTCTCTCTCTCTCTCTCTCGGAAAAGCCTCTCCTATACAAACTTTCAGGATCTTTTATTAATTATTACGTTCCAAGGAATTAATATGAATATTTCTTAAAAGGAAGCCCTTATTCAGTAAATTTTATTATTAGAAATATTTTAGGTCTAGTGAAATGTATGTGAAGAGGCCTTCAAAGTACTAACGTGGTCACCGCGGATTTTTTTAAACAATTTTTTAAATATTTTAAGTTTTTCTGCAGAGGGTCTACTCAAACTTTTTCACTTAAATTTTCCTTTAAAAAAATAAAGGAAAATATTTTCCTTCTAATTTATAATACGAATATTTACGAAATTTTGCCAGATTTCATATCTGAGGATTTTTATTTAAAATTTACAATTGTTTTTAAATTATTATTTTAAAATTCGTTGCAATTGAGGCTCTGGTATGTTTAAACCAGTTAAAGATTATCTCTTTTCATGTCTCTTCCCCACTTTTGTGACCTACTGCCCAGTATTCGATATATACTTCGGTCTTTTCCGTGGGGATCCTCAAAACGTCTGGTATGAACCAGTCTAGGATATGAAAATCTAGAGATCTGTGAGAGGGTTGTAAGATGCACATGAAGAGGCCTCGAGGAGGCTCTCACGACTTCTAAAATTTTCATCCTCTGCACACTGAAAAAAAATCTTTGGTGTATTTACTAAGAAAAGGGTAAAATTACCAAGAATTCAGGGTTCTATTTGATCCCAGTTTTTTCTTGGTAAAATTACCATTTATAAAATTGGTAATTTTACCGAGAATTCTCAGTAAAATTATTGAACTTTCTCGGTAATTTTACTGGACCTTGGTAAAAACGCCAATATTTTTAATCGACTGTGGTAGAATTACCGAGATAAAATGGCAAAGTTACCGGGAATTGATTACCAATGAAAGGGGGATTCTTACCTGAAAAAAAACAGTAAAAATACCGGTTTTTAGGTAAGCTTACCGGTCTGTCATGGTAAAATTACCAATAATTGGTAAAAAAAAGTGAGATGATACAGGTACCAACGGACCTTGGTAAAAACGCCGAGAATTTTTTTTCAGTGTGTTATTCTTTTGGGACAAATTGGTCACAAATTGGAAATGGAAAGTGGAATAGTTTGGAATTTTCCCATTTTCAGCCTTTCCGACTGAAATCCTTTAAGTTTTGTTTGAGGTTATGTTCTATTATTTTGAACCAAACGCTACATCGATATCGATCCATCGAATCGAGCGGGGATCTCCTCAACGTGGCAGCGGAGCATCCGAACGCGGAAGACGCAAATCCCGGCAGAGATAGCAGCGAAATTTTTCGCGCGCTTCTTGGTCGCGCGCCACGCGCGGGGGGGGGGGGGGGG